AGACAGACATTAATGCAGTTAATAAAGGGCAATGCAAAGAGAGAAAATCACAAAGGCTATGGGAACACAGAAGGCTCAGCTACAAACTGCCTGGAAGAATCAAGGAAGGCTTCCCTAGGAGGTACCTTTTGATTTGGCTCTAAAGCATAAGCAAAAGTCTAGTAGGCAAAGTAAGAAAGGAGAAAAATAAGACCTTCCAGATCAATGGAACCCACTATAATGGTCCTACGCCATAAAAGGGCTTGTTGTGTCAGGAGAAAAGTTTAGTGGGACGAGAAGTCAGGATAGGAATTTGAAGGACAGGGGTATGGCCAGCTCAGAAGGGCTGAGTGGGCCAAATTAGAACTGATAAGACCACAAGTATCTTTCCGGCAACAATTTTGGCTACAGGATGAGCAGTCTGAAGTGGGGAATACAGGATCATTTCTTCCTTCCTCTGTCCCTGCTCCAAGAACTCAGGACAGGGGCACAGCACAGAGAAATGTCCAAGCATTGAACTGCTTTCTCCAAAGACAAACCAGGAACTGCTCTTATCTGCATAGGCAGGTCACACAAACTCCGGCCTGATCTCCCAAGCCATCTTTCCCTTCTAGGATTCCTTCTAGGAGTTCAGAGCCAAAGTGTCATGTTGTTAAGAAGACAAGTAAGGACTAGAAAGCAGAGACACAGACAATTGTACACCAATGTTCATTTACTGCAGTACTATTTACAATAATCAAATACTAAAAGCAACATCAATGCCCATCAACAGATGAATTGTTGTTAAAGGTCATGGAGTCAAATTTGACTCATAGCGACCCTGTATAGGGTTTCTGAAGAGTGGTTGGTGGGTTTGAACCATTGACCTTGTGGTTCAAGCTGACCTTGCGGTCCCGTGCTTTACCCTACAATGCCATATCAGGACTCTGACAGATGAATGGATATGCAAAATGTAGCACGACAACTACCCAACCAGTAAGAGAAATGAAGTCTTGAAACATGCTGCAATATGGAGGGAGTTTTGAGATTCATTAGCTGACTGGAGCAACTCAATCACAAAAGGACAATTATTATACAATCTCACTTGTGTAAAAAGACAGGTCAAGATAAACATAGAGAAACCAAAGTTTATTAGTGGTTACCAGAGGTGGGAGGAAGAGGGGATGTGGGGCAGTTGCTTATGGAGCACTGAGTTTCAGTTTACAGAGAAAGAAAAGCCACATTGAATTAAGCCAATTAATGTAATTGCTGTTAATAAGCTGTACATCTATCAAACGTCGAATTGGCAGAAGTTGTGTTATAGATATATTAACAACAATGACCCAAAAAAAGAACAGCTGAGGCTGCTTATATACAATCAAACACACTTCATGGGATGTGGTTCCTTAGTTTGGAGCTTTAGGGTCATGGTTTCATTGGACAGCCCAGTTAATTGGCCTAATAACAAGTTTAGTGCTTCTGTTCTACCTCCTAGTTCATGGAGTCTTAAAAACTTACAAGCTGCCACCAAAGCACAACAATTAGTTTTTGTTTGCCTGGAGCAACAAAGAAAGGAGAATCAGGAATAGGAGGAAATGGATGTGTGGCTAATTTCCTCAAACAACAACTGCCTCCTCCGCCATGAGATCAGAGGAACTGGATGGTGCCCAGCTACCATAGCTAAACATTTTGAAAAAAGATTCTATAGCAGAATCCTGATCAAAAGGGAAGAAATGCAGAACAGAATTTCAAAGGATTATGGAATCCAAATTCTCTGGAACCATGGAGGCCTGATGAGCCCCTGAAACTAGTATCCTGTGATAATCTTTAAACCTTAAACCAAAAACACCCCCTAAAATCCTTGTCAAAAGCCAACAATAGTTTAGCTTACTAGTAAAGAATGTCTGCCTTGACATTATGCTCTTTTAAGATCTACATGTACATGATCAAATTGACAAACTCCAAAGATTAGATACGAACCTTATCGGCAGGGAATTAATGTTAATGAGGAAGAAACAACTTAGAATGGATGTACAACGTACTGTTGTTGTTAAGTGCCTTCAACTCGGTTCTGACCTGTAGCAACCCTGCACAGGGGTTCCAAGGAACGGCTAGTGATCTTGAACCACCGACCTTACGGTTCAAACCAACATTGCAGTCCAGGATATTAACCTACAGTGACACACCAAGACTAGAAGAATATAATCAATGTTACTGAATTGGACATGTAGACACTGTCTACATGCCAGCTCTGCAGTTTACTTGCTGAGTAAAAGCTACTTTAATATCTCTAAGCCTCAGTTTCATCAGTAAAATGGGGCTGCAGATAACATGATGACTTTAGGGAAGTGTTGTAAAGAAAACACATGAGGCCTATAAAGTACTTAGGGAGAATTTGACTAGAAAAGCCCAAGCTTTGACCATGACTAGAAAGGAGTCCTGGTGTGGCGCTGTAGGTAAGCACTGAATCACAAGGTCTACGGTTCAAACTTACTAGCCGCTCCTCAGAAACCCTATACAGGGTTACTCTGAGTCGGAACCAACTTGACGGCACTAAACAACAACATGACTAGAAAAAGGACAAGTGAAGGACTGTGTCGGTCAGCTTTTAACAATCTGGCCCCAACTTTTCCAACACTCTTCTGTCTGTAGCCACATGGATGTGTTTACAGAAAACCATGGAGGTGAAATTCCAGCAGCCTGCTCATATAAGTGAGCCCTTAGCCCACCTGTGAAAGGAGAGGGAAAGGCTAGACTCTGAGGTCCCTTCCAGCTCTAATTTGATGTTTATCTTTCTGTTCATTCACTGGTTCACTGGGTCACTCAAAATGCTGGTGTATTCAGCATGCTAGACCTCCATTGGTAAACAAAACCTTCCTGGAGACAACTAATAAACAATGAATTCACATTCAATTATTTAATTACAACTGTTGTTAAGTGCTACTGTGGCTAGGTACTGGGTACCAGGAAAGCCAAAACCAGGGACCCTGGCAATGTCTTGGAAGTGGCGGTGGGTGTCAAGAAAAAAAATGCTTTAATTTAATGGCATCTAACGCACCAGACTTGAAAGCCATTTGAACTGCAAGGTCGGCGGTTCAAGCTCACCAGTGGCTCCTTGGAAACTCTATACAGGGTTGCTATGGGTTGGAACCGACTCGACGGCACCACTCAACAACAGCAACTCTGTCTAATGGAGTCCTGTGTGGCACTGTGGGTTACGAGCCAGACTGCAAAGCCATTTGAACTGCACAGTTGGCAGTTCAAGCTCACCAGTGGCTCCTTGGAAACCCTATACAGGGTCACTATGGGTCGGAACGGATTCGACAGCACTTCACAACAACAACAATCTGTCTAATAGCTGAGGTAGTCACAATTAATTAGGCCAAAGGTAGAAATTGGTTGGTTAGTTATGTGCCATGGAGTTGGTTCTGACTCACAGCTACCCTGTATACTGTATCTGAAGCTATAAATCTTTACAGATGCAAAAATCTTTCTCCTGCGGAACAGCTGGTAGTTTTGAACTGCTGACCTTGAGGTTAGCAGCCCAACTTGTAATCACTACGCTATCAGAGCTCCTTAAAAGGTGGGAATAGCCCCCTAAATATTTCTTTTTCTCCCTTGAAATTCTGTTTCTGTTTTGAATATTAGCTGCCAGTTCCCAACTACGTTTCCCAGCAGGTCCCACAAATGTCATCAATTCTGATGGGAAGACTGAGTCCAGAGCTGTGTTCCCCAGAAGTATTCACTGACAATTTGCTATCAACAAAGGAGTTTTGATGGCTCAGTGGTTAAACACTCAACTGCTGACCGAAAGACTGGTGGTTCGAATCCACCCAACAGACGCACTGGAGAGCTGACGATCAGCTCCCATAAAGATGACCACCTAGAAAACCCTACAGAGCATTCTACTTTGTCACTATGGAGTCACTAGGAGTTAACATTGACTGGAAGGCACCTAATAAGAAGCACCTGCGTCTGCGGTGTAAGCGCGCACGCGGTATGGGGAAGTAGTCATGCAGAGTAGTACCACTCTTTCCCTCTCAGTTCACAGTTTGGTAGAAGAGATACATACAAAACACATGGTTACAACATTTGATACCTTATCAAGTGATAAGGACTATTCTAGAGAACTGTTCTGATTACTGTGTAAGTGTAGTGGAAGGAGTACTTATCTCCTATGGTTCTGTCTGTAAAACAGGAAATCTATCCTACTTCTCCCATCTACTCAAGCAAGGCCTAGAGAGATGGCCCAGGTATGAAAAGTGCTTAGATTGCTTTAGAGGTGACTGGGATCAGAAGCACCCAGGAAATTCTGAATCCATAATTAACTTCAAATTCCTGTTAAATATCTTCTCTCAAAAAACCATAAGGCCTGCATATAACTAGAGGGCTCAATTTCCATCCCCTAAACAGTTTATACAACAGGAGGGAGGAAGATGAGAAAGACGGCCAGCTTCCAGACAGCACAGTGCTCAGCCCTCACCCAGCCATCTTACTATGCTCGTTCATGGACAGAGCCTGGACTTCAAGTCCCGCCATCCCTTGTGCTCTCTCTGCCTGTCATTTATTGCTTTACAGCCTGAGATTGAGGAGCACTGCTGATCTCTGCTCATGACTATCCTTTAGGAGTGAGGGCCCTGCCCTGGACAATAGAGACACATGCCACTCCCAACCCTCAGCCCCACACAGAACCATGTCAAGTCACCCACATGCTTTTCTTCTTCTCCCCTGAACCCCCAACTTTTTTACTCTAAGAAAACGGAACTCTGAACACTTATGATTGGTAAACAGAAAAATGACTTTCACAGGAAGTTCTAGGGAGTTTAAAGAACTGGCAAGCGCATTTGATCCACACGAGCTAAAGGGAAATCCTGTCTGAGGGCAGTCTGGATGGCTTTCCAGATGCCTCCCAGGCAGTGGAAGTGAAATCAATGTTCCCTCCCCTCCTTCCTTCTGGCCCCCTGGATCTCTCACCCCACAAGCCATCAAGGAGTTAGAACTGGTGCCTGCTCCACAGCTAGAGCTGTGCCCACACTCCTTACCTCCTCGGCGTTCTCGCCTCCACCATCCTTGCCCGAGCTGCTAGGCTTGGCTGTGCCTTTGGCAAGCTTGGGGGGCTCCTGAAGGGAGAAGACCAAGGTAGGATTAGTAGAGGCCAGGGAAGGGAGAGACATGAGTTGGACTCTTAGATCTTTGCAATTACTCTATGGTTCAATTCAGTCTATCAGTTAGAATCACTGAGTACTGACCTTGTCTCTGGCCAGGAGAGAGAAAGCACATACAAAGGGAGAATCACTCTGGTTAGGAAGACAGCCCGAACACATAATAATTAAGGCTGTGCATGAGTTAGGGCCTGGGAGGGCCTTCTGTCAGTAAGAGCCAGGGTGAGGAGTGTTGAGGGAAAAGCATCATGGAACAAGCTGCTCAGATAGGCCTCTGGTTAAAGGGGTCAGAAGCATGCCTGAGGCTTTCATGCTGGAGTGAGGGAGTCACCAGTCTTCCCCCAAGGCATCTGGAAAGACTGAGAGGCGGCTTTTTGGATGTCACAAACAGTACCCAGATAAAAAGATGTTGGCATTTAATAGCAGGACCCAGAAGATACTAACAAGCACAGGAAAATAGTCCCACCTAAATACCCTGGTGGTGCAGTGGTTAAGTGCTTGGCTGCTAACCAAATGGTCAGCAATTTAAACCCACCACCACTCTGAAGGAGAAAGCTGTGGCAATCCCTTCCTACAGAGATTACAGCCTTGGAAAGCCTATGGGGCAGTTCTACGCTGTCCTATAGGTTTGCTATGAGTTGAAATCAACTTGACAGCAATGGGTTTGGTTTGGATTTTTTTTAATACCAAGAACACCTCAGTCAATAGCATTGAGACAGGGATGAGGCAAGCCCTAAGGTGCAACCAAAAGTGAGCAGGGGTCTGAAGTCTTCCTTGGGAATCCAGTAGCTGACTCAAAGCCCCGGCCTGCACAGCCTCTCTTTCTATGCTTTGGACCAAAAACAGCACTGCACAGGAACAGGATGGAGAAAATGTAAAGAAGACTTGGGGAGTGAGGTCTGAATGCAAGCTCAACCCAAATCAGCTATGAGCCTTGGCTGCCGTGGCAGCTCACACAACCATTCATCTAGTGCCAGAGCCTGTGCCCGCTGTGTGCCTGGGGCTTGGCACTGGGGACTTGGAAATGCCCTTGTCCTTGATAGGGCCACCCCCGGAGGATCTGGTTCATTCATGAGCATCAGAGTTTTGGAGGAACAAAGAGGGGGTAGGATACAACCCATACTGGGAGTGGATTCAAAAGCATGTCCAGTAAGCAACAGCTGCAGGCCTGGGATGGTGGACAATGGGAAGGAGGAGTCATGGGGCGGGGGTGAGATGGAACTTTACAAACAAATAAAGGGCTGCCATGTGGAGCAAAGATGCAACTTTTCCACATGGATCTAGAGGTCTGAGAGCAACGGTAGAAGTCGCAGGAAGACCGGTTGAGGCACCAAACAAGGAAGAATTTTCTCACAAAGCAGCTGCACAAAAAAGGGCTGACTTGTGAGACTGAGAGCCTTCAAGCAGAGGCTGGCTAACCTCCTCTAAAGGACTGCAAGCTTTCAATGGGAGGTAGATTTGAAGGTCTTAGAAATCACGCCCAGCTCTGAGGTTCTGCAATTCTACAGCACCCAAGCCCCTTCAGCAAGAAGTGATCCATCTAGTGATTCTGACTATGGGGGCAAAAGGATTTCAGGGAGAAGAGAACTCTGTGTGGGCTGAAGTAGGGGGGGAGGCTTTGTGGGGGTGGGGAGGAGGAAAGCCAGGCGGGCTGGAGCAGCTCTCTGCAGTCAGGGGAGCAGAAAGGAGGCCCTTTTTCAGGCTAAGCATTCTCCCACTGTCTACTGACCTAGGCTGGTCACACTGACCCCATTGCCAAGGGGCCAGGGAGAGGGATCTGAACATGGGGTAGAGTGAAAAAGGCTAGGGTAGATATAGGCAAGCCAGGACACTGAGATGATTCTGCACATACCCTAGATGTGTACCCCTCAGACAGGACTGACCTGTTTTCATCCATCACTGATCTCGCTACTTGAGTCTAAGCTCCTTATTCTTTTTATGTCACTCCACCAACTCTATAGCATTTAGCACAATGCCTCAAACATAGCCCTCAGGGAATACGCCTAAGAGAGATCCCAGCTGCTTTTGAGAGTGTGTTGGGGGGTATGTGTGGGTGTATGTTCGTGGGGGGAAGCAGACCCATCACCCTTATTCCCCGGCTCCTGCAGAACAGGTGCACACATACTTCCAGCCTGCAGGCAGGTGCTGCACTGCACGTGGTTAAAGGCACAGGCTTTGGCATCAGTCCTGTGTTCCAGGCCCAACTCTGACTAGCTGTAAAACCGCAGGCAAGTTAACTAGCCTCTCTGAGCTTGTGTCCTTATCTAGTTAACAACGATCATATGACCCACTTCCCTTAGCACATTTTCTGTCAAATGAAGAACCTAAATGCTGGTCACTATTGTTACTATAAAGGAGCTCCGGTAGCGCAGTGGTTACAAATTGGGCTGTGAACCACAAGGTCAGCAGTTCGAAACTACCAGTTGTTCCACAGGAGAAAGATGAGGCTTTCTGCTCCCGTAAAGATTTATAGCCTCGGAAACCCTGTACAGGGTCGCTATGAGTTGGAACTGACTCCATGGCACATAACAACAACAACAACATTATTATTATAAACAAGAAGGTGGATAGAAAGGCACAGAGACACCCCACCTAGGAACCTAAAAGAGGTAACTCCCAGGTCAGGACACATGGGAAGAGATGTAAGAGACTGCATTCTGCAATTATCCACTGTTATTGTTAAGTGCCATCGAGTGGGTTTCAACTTATAGCGACCTTGTATAGGGTTTCCAAGGAGCGGCTCACTGAGCACCTACTATATACAAGGCACAGCTTAGTTATTTCCTCAAAGGGGAAGAAAAAATTTGTCCATAATTCTGATCCAAAGCCAAACCCAAAAAGGGCCACAAATGTTCTGCAATCCAAGGGGGGTGGGAGATCTTATTCTCAACTGAGGGCTTAAGCAAAGCTTCAGGGAGAAGGCCTTAAGGAGGGCCAGAATTGGGACCAGTAGAGATGGAGGGAATGAGCAATGAAGACCCACCACCTACCTGTCCACTCTCTACCCCCACCTCATCCAGGCAAACCTCAGTCACACTGCTACCTCCCTCTGCCTCAGGACCTGCCAAGCCCTGAATACCAATTGCAACCAAAAATCAAAAGCAGAAAGTTCAACTTGAAAGGGGGGTCAGAGTTATGCCCGGCTCTTAAGCACCCAACACTCTTTCCCAAGCAAATACTTACACTTATGGTCCTCACAAGTCTACTTAAGAATTTTTCTTCTTCTGAATCATCTACAAAGGCTTTCTGTGGCTATGACAGTTTCTGTTCCATCAGACTAAAATCTACAAAAGGGTGGGGACTTCATCCACTGCTCCTGAATTCTGCCCCTCACCCCGTTCCTTAGTCCCTGGCATGACTGAATTAGGTGTGTATTGTCTACAGCTAAGCTGCCCAGACCATCTTGGCATGCCCATTCCCCAAGGGAAGGGCCTGGGAGGGGTACACAACCCTACCCAATCCAGCATCCCAGTAAACCATCATCAATGACTGTACAACCATACACTCAGAAGCTCTGGCTCTAAGAAGTTATGGGGATAACCCAGAGTCAGAGGTGCCCAGAAAATCTCCAGAGGAGTTTGAATTATAAGTCAGAGACAGCAGCCTAACAACTAGCCAATCAGAGGATAAATGAAAGCAACCCACCTCTAGGGTCACAAAGCAGGTGGTCAGAACACCAGGTCAGAGCTGGTCTGAACCAGAGTGGCCAGCCCCAGAGGAGGAGAAGCTGGGGGAGGCTGGCACTGGTATCCTAGCATCCTCTGTGTGAGTCTGTACCTCAAAGGAACCACACCTCTGAGTCAGACCTCAGCAACAGCAGGAAAGAGAGTAGAAAAGGCAGGGATGAGAAAGAGGAGAAGGTGGAATGAAGAGAAGATGGGAAGGTGAAAGGAGGCAGCAGCAAGAAAGGGTTTGTGTTAAGACATTATAACAAAGGCACGGGAGCCCAGGGGTGGCTGGCTTATGGGATAAGAAGGAAAATGAATCTGACAGTGAGGGCAGATTCCTGAATTGAGGATCACGTTGCCCAGAGAGACACAAATCAAGCACTGGTGCAAAAAGAAAAAAAATGCAAAGGTTATCCTAGAATTAGGAGTAAGGGAGGAGCCTACTTAGATTATTAGGAAGAGTGACTGGTTTAAGATGAACCTGGGAGCCAGGTGATGACACTGGTCAGCTCTCTTAGCTTTGGTACAAAAGAGGCCTTGAAGTCAGGAGAGTTGATATTGCAGCTCTGCCCCCAACAGGCGGTGTGACCTTGGACAAGTCGCTTGCCCGTCTGGGCCTCAGTCTCCTCATCTGTACTATTAAGGGTTGGACTGCAAGCGTTCAGAGGTCCCTCCCTGCCCAGACGTTCTGAGGTTCCATCAACAGAAAAGGCAGGGCTCTGTCCTGGCGTACAAGTTTGTGTGTGAAGGAAGAACTGGAGGGAGGGGCCTAGTCCAGATTTGGGTGGAGGAGGGAGAAAGCAGCACTGTCCTAGGTCAGGAGCTGGGCGTGCGGAGGGAGAGAAAGGGTTGCAGAGGATGGGAGAGAAGGCTGGGTCCCAGCCGAGTGAGAAGAGGGAAGGGGCTGTGCAGGGGGGAAGGGGCAGTTCTGGAGGGAGGTGCTGTCTCAGATGAGTGAGGCTAACCCAAACGGGTGGAGGGATAGGGTGGAACGAGCAGGGAAAGGGGGGGGGGGGACAAGAGGAGGGAGGGAAGCAGGGGAGTGACCTGGGAGTGGAGCAGATCTGGAGGGAGGAGGCAGGTTACCCTAGGCCGGGGGAAGGTGAGGTTGGAAGAGAGAGATGCATGTGGGGGCAATCTGTCCCAAGCAAGGTGGGGTGGCTGTCCCAGCTGCGGCACAGTCTGGGGGTGCTACCCGCCGCGGGGGCGGAGAGCTCGCCCCGGGAGTCCTGTGGGGGCCAGACGGGAGGGTCAGTCTGGAGCTGTCCCGGGCCTGGCTCGGGCCCCTCCCAGAGCTCCGCACAGGCCCCAGTGCGGAGGCGCGGGGGAAAGGACCACGCTCACCTTCTCCTTCTTCAGTTTATAGGGCATCTCGGCCCGTCGGGACCTGGCCCGGCTGCTGCGGTCCCGCTCCGGCTCCGGCTTTGCTCGGCCGCACTCGGCCCGCTCCGGCGTCTTTTCGCCTCCGCCTGCGCGCTGCGCCCCGGTCGAACCGTGTCTGCGCCTCCAATTGGCCCGAACTCTTATAACCTGCCTGACAACCCGGCGCCGCCTCCTCGGATTGGTCATTGGAGCCATGGTGCTTCCTTTTTTTCTCATTGGAAAGAAAGAGTACAAACCGCCAGGGTTCAGGTCCCAGAATTGGCTGAAATGGGAGGTCCCGCCCTAAAATGGGTCGAGCTTAGTAAATGAGGCAGGGGAAAAGGGGAAACCCAAGCTTGGCTGGGAGTGCTGCACTCCTGCATGGGCCTTGGTCGTTCTTTGCAGCTCTTGGACTCCACTTTCCTCACTGTGCTAGAATTGACAGAAAAACAAAAACCGAAACCCACTATTGTGGCCTGATTCCAACTCACAACAATACTATAAGATGGAGTAGAACTACCCCTACAGGATTTCTAAGACTAAATCTCTACTGTAGCAGAATGCCACATTTTTCTCCCGCTCAGCAGCTGGTGAGTTTGAATTACTGGCCTCTACTTAGCAGCAGAGCGCCTTAACTACTGTGCTACCAGGCTTTCTGAATTGAAAGAAAAAAAGACCTAAAGTAAAGGTCATCTTTCTCCATCAGGGTAACATATCACTAAATGTAGGTGCAAGATTGTTGTTGTTGAGTGCCGTCGAGTCAGTTCCAACTCATAATGACCCTGTATAGGGTTTCCAAAGAGCAGCTGATGAGTTTGAATCCCTGACCCTGACGTTCAAACCGACCCTGTTCTGTTCAGTGCATTATCCTGCAGCGCCACATCAGGAATCCAGGCTTGCAGAGAAGCAAAGGGGAAAGGTGGCAGAGCCTGGGTTCGGGTTTCTCAGACCTTGTTGCAACTCTGGGAAGAGGGTCCGGGTTCCTACTGTAAGTGTGCTGGGATTGGGCAATGGCTAGACATGAACAGCTGGGAAGGCAGTGGAAAAGTAACATCATTATTGAGTGCCTCAAGGAAATGTATCCCTTCTTCCCACCCCACCCAAGCCAGTTTCCTAATGGATAAGACTCAGTTCCTGCCCTCAGTGAATGAGTTCAGAGACTAGTGAAGTGCATAGACTTGTATAAACAAATGATTAAGATCCAAAACCAAACCAGTAGATTCCCACTCATGGCCACCATTTGTGTATCAGAGTGGAACTGTGCTCTTGGCAATAAAAGAGCCCAAGTGGCACAACAAGTTAATAGTTTGGCTATTAACCAAAAAGTTGGAGGTTCAAACCCACCAATCTGCTCCTGTAAAAATTATAGCCTATAACACGATATGGGGCAATTCTGCTCTGTTACATGGGGTTTCTATAGATTGAAAATCGACTCAACAGCACCTAACAGCAGTCTTTACAGAAGCAGATCTCCAGACATTTCTTTCATGGTGCCACTGGGTGGGTTTGAACTACTGGTTAGCAGCTGATGGCAAACTGCTTGCATCATTCACAGACCACAAAGTTTATGATAAATTACATAAACCTAGAGACTACATAAAGAGCCTTGGTGGTACGCCGATTCAGTGCTTGGGTGCTGACTGAAAGATCAGAAAGATAGGTCAGTCTACTTCTGTCAAGATTATAGCCTTGGAAACCCTATATCCTACAGCTGAAATCAACTGGACAGCAACAGGAACAGAAAGACTACATGGAGAAACTGTTTCCGAAAGGCAACTTCAAAACCAGGCTGGCTACATGAAGAAACTGGAGGAGACCCACCAAAAGTAACCTTGCCCAGGAGAACAGTGCTATATAACAGTGGTCATGGCCTAGCAATTCCTCTACTTGGTATATATCCACAAGAAATAAGAATCAAGACAGAAGTAGATATATACACACCTATGTTCATTGAAGCACTCTTCACAATAACAGAAAGATGGAAACAGTCTAAATGTCCATCCACTGAAGAATGGATAAACTTTGGTACATACACACAATGGAATTCCATGCAACTGCAAAAGCCTGAATAACACGGATGAAACTATGCTGAGTGAAATAAGTCAATCACAAAAGGGCAAATATTGTATGAAATTACTATTGTAAGAACTCAAGAAAAGGTTTTCGTGCTAAAAGAAACATTCTTTGATGCAGAGTCAGGAGAGAAGGGAGAGTAATTCACTGGCTAGAGGGTAGACATTAGATGTTAACTTGGGTGATGGGGAGAGCAATATACAAGAAGAGGGAGGTTGACAGAAGAATGATGACTACAGGTAAAGACAAAGGGAAGTATGCAAGGGCTAAAGGGGGTAGAGGTAAATAGTGGTATATATACAACTTTGGAACAACAGTGTTCCGCAGGTAGCTAGCTACATGGACAGAGACACAGGCTGAATGGGTATGGGAGGAAGAGTGGGAGTATACCCATAAATAATGGTTTGAATGAATCTATTTGTATATGGGGACTTACTTTTCCTGCAAACACACCTGTGATTGTGGTGGAGCTTACAGCAGGTAAAATGATGAAAACTTGTTAGCTATTCTCAAACATCTTAAGGCACCAAGTTGCGGGGCCTGGGGGCTCAGAACCATAGTCTCAGGGGATACCATGGTCAATTGGTGAATAGCGTGTAGGATCTTAAAGGCTCACGAGCAGCCATCTAAGGTGCAGCTATTGGTCTCTCCATGTGTGAAAGATGGAAGAGTGATGAGAATTGAAGATACTAATGAAGATGGAACATGTCAACATCAGTCTCCACAACTCCAAGACCAGAACTAGATGGTGCCTGGCTACCACTGCCAAAGGCTCTGAGAGAGATCACATTAGTAGGTCCCGAATAGAGTGGAGTGAGAAAAAATGTGGAACAAAACTCAAAATTATTGAAAAAAAAAACACCAGGCTTACTGGTCAAAGAGACTGGAGGAACCTGAGCCCTTGACCACCCTTCAGGTCTACCCTCATGGCACAGTTTTCAGCCAAGTAGTCGATATGTATATATGGGTGGTACAACAATACTGGTGAGGTATGCTCATTATGGAAAGTGAAATCATTCAAAATCAAAAGGGCAGCATTTTAACCTAAGGACAAGTTGAGAAAGGAAGGCAAGGTGGGTGGAATGCAAATAGGAGCTACAGGGAGGAAGTGGGATAACTGTTGTTACATGGAGGGAATTATAATCATTGAGATGAAACAGTGTATAACTTGTTGAATATAAAACTGATGATCTTGGCTATAAACCTTCACTCACTTCACACTAAGAAGTTAAAAAGTAGTGGTCATGAGGATGAAGAAGAAAGGATGGAATTGGGAAATGTGTGATCCATTGGATCTTGGGAAGAAAGCTGGTGTCATAGGCAAGAGTGGTAAAAATGTTTCAAGAAAAAAGAATTGTTCACTAGTGTCATATTCCAGAGAAAAATCAGGTAAGATAAATATCAGGCATCATCCCTGGATTCTCTAAGTAGGAAGTTACTGGTAATCTTTGCCAGGGAAGTCCCAGGAGTGGGAAGACAGTTATAGTAGATTGAGGAGTGAGCTAGAGGTAAGGAAGTGAAGATAGCAAATTTAGTTAGGCTACTTGCTGTCTTATACAAGTTGTAATGGCTTTCAATGAATAGTGACAACTTCAGGGTAATACAAAGTGAACCGCACTCCAGCCATTATTTGCTAGAGGAAAATCCTGGAAGGAAATTACATTTATTTTTGGATGAGTTTTTGTGTCTGTGAAATCCCAGGGTGGTGCAAATGGTTAACATGCTTGCTTGAAAGGTTGTAAGTTCAAGTCCAGCCAGGGCCATATTGGAAGGCTTGGAGAACTATTCCTGCAAAATCAGTCACTGAAAACTTTATGGAGCACAGTTCTACTCACACACATGGGGTTGCCATGAGTCAAAGGGACCTTCCAGGGGGTATAGTAGATGTATTTACCATTCCATATGCCCCAAGAAGTTCTATATTCCTGAATCTTAGACTCGTCTACAACTTGATAAAGCAGATATATTCTATTTGGGCTTATCCATTGTCCTCCCCGTTCTTGGTCCCTTTGGGAGGCAGGGGACAGACCATATATAATTTAGTAATACCAAGTGAGTACTTTCATCCACGTGAATTCTTGAGTCCTGGTATGGTGGTGTAGCATAAGAACTAGACTACTATCTGCATAGTTGGTAGTTCAAACCTACCAGCTGCTCTTAGAAACCCTATACACGGTTGCTGTGAGTTGGAACCAACTCGATGGCACACAACAACACTAACAATGCATTCTTGTTGTTGTTGTTAAGTACTGTGGAGTCGGTTCCGACTCATAATGACCCTGCACAGGGTTTCCAAGGTTGTAAATCTTTATGGGAGCAGAGCACCTCATCTTTCTCTCACAGAACC